GCTTTACCGGAGCTGGCTCGGGCGCCGCTGGCTGATGCACCTAGGATCTTTTCATCTAGCTGCGGGTGCACCGCAGCTATTAGTGTGTGTGTGTGTGTGTGTGTCATCATGCTGTTAAGCAGTTTGGAGCAAGTTTGAGGTGTTTTATAACCCCTAAACCCAGTTAAGATAGTGGAATAGCATTCTGTGCTGTTGAGGCTCAGTCAACCGCGGAGAGCACCGTTGTCTCTAAGACACGGATCGGTGGTTTAAAAACTTTCTAGCTGACGGGGAAACGCCTCCAAGCACCCTATAATCGAGTGCTACAGTCCTGAAAGGTACTCTGGTGTTCTGGGTATAATTATTGATAGCTGCGGATTTTGGGTCAAGAGCAGCAAGAATGTCGCTTATAGTCATACTGGTGACAAAAACAATCGCGGCACTTAGGTGGCACCCATTGCCTGAGTACTATAGCGCAGCAACCGTACTAGCAGCACGTAGCCGGCGCAAAGTTGGTGTTGACAAGAGTTGCACCTATGCAAGTGATGGCAGTCCGATCGACGCAGCATCGGTGGCAGTACTGAAGGTAGTTAGTAGTTAAATGAAATGCGAAGAGAAAGATCAGGCTTTTCCACCCATGCATTCACACACCTATCACTTATCTTCTCCGGTCAAGCTTTCTCGGAACATGACATATATACATAGACGCAGACAGGGAACACAGTCACTCTATAGCATGTTTGCTGCGCGGGAGTTGTAGATGTGCACCAGTGCCCTGAAAGCTCTACAGGCCAGGCGTCGTGAACGCCAATACAGTTCAAACTACATGCTATCTGAGGGGGTCCACATATACTACCATTATGGAATTAGGTCCCTAAAGACCATCCCCAGCATGGTTTTGGGGACCTAATTCCATACTAGCAGTGTATAGGGTACATGACCAAAGAACTCTAACTGCACGCTGACTAGGCTATGGAAGCCTTTTAGGCTATACAAAAAAGCACTCCGAAAGCCCCAAAAACACACAAACTTTGACCCAATAACTACTACTAGACTCTCTATCACTAGACCCAGGAGCAACCTGGTAATAAAAAGGGTGCCCTTTTTGGTTCAAAGGGGGGTTTATAAGGGAACCTGAACCCCCAAAAAGGGTAGAAGGGCTTACTCTGGGTCCTAGATCACGAATGACAATGACAATGGGTATGCACAACCCGGAAAGACGGAAGTCCTCAGGTCCATGACTATCCATGGGTAGTTGTCAAAATTAGGGTCCCTTTTTGGGCACCCTGAATAATAGGTGCCGTATTATAATAGGGACAGAAACAAGGAACCATAAGTTGAGAACCACTCACATGGCACGGGAGAACATCGGATCTTGAAACATCTTTGAGCGCAGGCGCAGATTCTTGCACTGGTGGAGCTCCCGCCAGCTGCATTGAAGGCCTCTGGTCTACTGTTTGATCTTCAGGTCTCCGGAGGGGGGTAACGGGATTAATTTCGTGCTTCGATGGCTTCTTGGGTTTATATTCTAGACGGTTGGGAATCCGGAGTTGGGCTGAAACGTTTAGGGTTGATTATCTGCTCGCCAACGTCTGTGCGAGTTGCTCAGCATACACGACGTGGTTTCTGAGTTATTGTAGGGCTTTCAGCTAGGCTTCAAGTTGGTGACAGAAGTTGCGGAGACACGGAGGAGCAGATTCATTCACTCAAGCAAGATCCTCTGCAACTTCCTTATTATAGTAGCAGCTAAGAAGGTTCCATGCCTTTTCCTGCAACAAGGTGTCTAGGAGCACAGGAGTTTCCCGAACCGCGAGGGCGGTTACAGCAAAAACCGACGTAAAACCTATCCGACGTAAACAATGTACCTTCTCCCAAACAAGCAAAATGGGTACAATGACTGTTTTTGGGTGCCTTGGTAACCAGATACGTTCCGTGCGACCGTCTCAGGGGTAAGGGGCTATGTAGGGTGTCGGATTCAGGGTTTTGGGATTTGAGTCTAGGTTTTGAGAGGAAGGGCTTTGAGTCTTAGCTCAGCTTCAACTTCGTAGGGACAGGTTTAGACCTAGACTTTCGCACAACAGATGGCCTGTTCTTCTGGCTTCAGGGCCTACAAAGGGTCGCAGGTAGAAGCATCTTGATGGCGGCAAAGTGATGTTCCAACACCAACGCCAGTGCCTGAACTGAGCTTCATACTTACCACGCTATACCATGCTTCTGCTGAGGGCCGCGCGGCATCTGGCCATACATCTGTGGCATCTGCATGGATGGGTTGAGCACCATCGATTGGACTTGGGGGACGCCTGGCACCGCGGAGCTGAATTTGTGCTTTTGTCCGGTGGATAGTGAGGAACTCTCCGGTTGCTTCCGCCCCCTGAAAACTGATGCCGAAACCCTAAACCCTAATCCCCAAAGCCTAATCTCTAATCTCTAAACCCTAACCAGGGATCTCGGATAAGATCTCAGAGTCCCAGCTCGATGGGCTACGAAACCCTATGAGTCCATTTACCCGAATAGTATACATGTTTGGCCTTGAAGTACTCCCTATATAAAGGTACTATTTTAGTACATGGACCCTCAACCCTAAACTAAACCCTAGACCCTAACCCTAATGGTACCCTTTAGCACCCTCAAAAATCCTCAAAGGAAGCCCTTTAATTCAAGCCCCGTTAAGGGTACATGGACCGCTACACCCTAAGCCCTAAACTAAACCCTAATGGTACCCTATAGCACCCTTAAAGATCCTTAAAGGAAGCCCCTTAAAGGGCACCAGGGACCATTAGGGAGATCCCACGCGACCTGCCAGCTGCATCGGATCGCCGTAAGGACTCCTTGGCATGGCGGCTTGCACTCTTCTTCGGGCAGTTTAAGGCTAAGGGCTTAGGGTTCAGGGTTTAGGGGTTCGGGTTCAGGGTTTAGGGGTTTAGGGTTTAGGCTTAGTTGCTGAGTTCATAAGCCCTCCAAAAAGACTACACTTTTAGTTTTATAGTGGGGAATATTATCCCAAAAAGTGTAAAGCGTATCCACTCAGCTACTAAGTAGGGCTAAGGGCTTGGGGTTTAGGGCTGAAGGTTTGTAGGGTTCAGGGTTTAGGGTTTACAGGGTATAGGGTTTAGGGCTTAGGGTGTAGGGCCATCTCAAACGTTAAGGTACGGTTTAGGGTTCATTGGTTGGAGAAATCGAATCATCATCAGAAACAGCTTTCCTCCTCAAGGGCTACACAAGTCGGAACGCTCGTATGTGGATATTCATCAACGGCCTTGGTTCGGGCGCTCAACAAACTTATGCTGCAGTCTGCTGAGGCTTCGCTAGCGTTCTCTTGCCGGGTAGAAACAGCAATCAACACCTAATTCCTGATCCTTAAACCCTAAACATCCCTTTAATCGCTGAAAAACCTCACTTGAAGCCTCTTGGTCAAGGCACATGGCAGCAGGGTAGCCGTAGGGCGAAGGATACGCTGCTTGCAGACCTGCGCCTGAGAGATCGTTGAGGTTCCAAGTGGCTTCTGGCCAGAGCTACTGCTGATGGACAAAACCCTGCATGACCCTTAGGACTCTAAACTCTAAACTAGTTGAATTATGGCACATTCCTTGACATGGGTAATGCAGGATTTTGTCCATCAACAGTATCTCCGACACTCCACCAGGGCAAAAAGGTCTCGCTTCTTGGAACGGGGGAGACCGCAGGGGTGAGGTCAGACTCGCTCACATGCTGGGTGATGCTGGCTGCACATCGGTACACATGTGTTCCCCAACGCTTTCAGGGGATACGGTTTAGGGGTATATAGTTCAGGTTAGGGTTTAGTAAACTTTCATGGTTTAGGACTTAGGGTTTCCAGGGTTTCGAGTTTCGAGATTAGGGTTTCGACCAGTCTATGGCCGGAAACACGCAAAGCAGAACAAGGATCGTGCTAACTAGCTGTGCCTGTGCCTCGTATCCCCGAATCTAAGTTCATGGTCTACCATCCCTAAACCCTAAACCCTAAACCCTAAGCCCTAAACCCTAAACACTAAGCATCTTGCGATGTACGCTGACCATCATGTTGGAGATATCCGCCCCGAGAACGAGATCTCCAAAGGAAGGCTACTTGGAGGATCATGGGACTTAGTAACCATGGTTTAGGGTTCCTTTTAATGAAGGTACTATAGGGTTGTATAATAGGGTTACTTAAAGGGATCTATAGGGGTTCTATAATGGAGATCATGGGGCTTAGTAACTGTGGTTTATAAGTCCCTTAATGGGGGGTTATAAGTAACTATAAGCTTAGTTATCTGATGATAACCGAAGTTACTAAGTCTCATGATCCATTAAGTAGCCCAACAGCCCATGCGAGATCGTTGCAGTCTTGGTCCGATCTTCCTCAGCTTTGAAAACGAGCTGCTGTTCGAAAGCTGTCGTCAAGCAGTGGTCCAAAAAATATGTGATTTAGCATCGTGCCTGATATAGATGCCTGCACGTTGCACATGACAAATAGCACGGTGTTCTGAAAGTAAGGGCCATATGCATTATGATGCCTTATACACTGTCCTTGTAGTGAGAGTGGGTAATTACTAGTTTAATTTCGACGTTGCCCCAAAGCCCATACCGAGAGCCACAGAGAACACGTCTTCGAAACACTTTAAGCAGCACAAGCCTCGTACCGATATTGGTATTACAGATCCCCTATAGGGAACTCCAGAAAGTTGGAATATGGATCAATGGTAGGATACCCTATAATTTACCTTAAAGGGGATACGATAATGACATTCCAACTTTCTGGCTTCTACTTATATCCACCATGGCCGAGTTATCATAAAGAAGCCTATCACGTCAGTTACAAACGGTACGAGCCAACTCCACGACACCTGAACTTGAAAGTCCTACAGAATCGAAACCGAAAACACACGCGCACGCACATGCGTGTGCACAGACACAGACTAGGATACCCAGTAACCTGAGAAAAAAAGGAATCTCTTTTTGGTGTTGGGCAACTATATAAGGAACCTAGGACTACAAAAAGGGAATAAGGGTACTACTGGGCATCCTAGCAGACACACAAGAAAACCAAATCAAAAAAGAAACAAAACACAATCATGCACTCGAAACACATAAAGCCCTAACACCAAGAGATCAAACACAAACCACCCGACAGCCTCATGCCCAACAACACCCAACAGCTACACAGCCTGCACACTAAAACCTTATACTTACAAAGCCCTAAACCCTATTGGCCCATGGCAAAACCCTAGGCCCTAAAGCCCTAAAACCCTACACAGCCCCAAACCCTAGGCCTTAAAGCCTTGAACACTATTGAGGCCCCTAGACTATAATACCCTTATAGACGCCTTATAGTAACCCCTATAGACCCCTTGAAAGGAATCCTATTCGAATTATTGAGGCACCTATATTATACCCTTAAACTAAACCCTAAACCCTACTTAAACCCTAAAATTTCATCCCCAAACCCCAAAGTACCCCTTAAAGGAACCGCCATAAGACCCCTTTAAAGGACCCCCATGGATCCCTTTAAAGGAACCCGATACAGATCCCTCTAAAGGAACCCGCCCATTAGACCCCGCGATCGGGCCTGTAAAGGGCTCCATCGGTAAGCCCCCGCAGGCTCCTAAAGCGGTAAAGGGTTTAAGGGTTTACAGGGTTTAGGGTTTAAGGGTTTAGGGATTTGGGGTTGAGGGTTTTTGGGTTCAGGGCTTAAGGGCTCAAAATAGAGTATAGGGTTTTAGGGTTTAGGTTTTAAGGGCTTTTAACAGGGTGTCTATAGGGTTTACGGGTGTAAAATAGAGTATAGGGTTCAAGGGCTAAAAATACGGTTTAGGGCTTCCTGTAAGGGTTTAGGGTTGCGGGTTTCAGGGTTTGAGGGCTTAGGGTTTTAGGGTTGAGAGTTTTAGGGTTTAGGGTTTTAGGTTTAAGGGCTTAAGATAAGGTGTAGGGTTTAGGGGCACAGCACTGGTTCGCTTTTTGATGCCTTGTTCGTTGCTTTTGGTCCGTTTTTTTGTTGCTGCTTATTTCAGGGTTCAGGGCTTTTAGCGCCTATGGAAAGAAAGATTTATTTGTCATGGGTTCATTTACTTTTAAATGTTGCTCGCACTGTTTCTTGTTTGTCAGTTTCAATGATTCAAGCACTGGTGCTTGATTTGATTTCGCCATTGTTTTGATTGTTTCCAGAGATTCATTCGTGCCCCTAAAACCCAAGCCCTAAGTAAACCCACCCTACATCCTAACCCTACAGCCTCAACACCCTGAAAACCCTAATGTAGGGCCTTAATAATTAGAATCGGATTTTGGGGGTTCCTTATTACCATTATGGTAGAATATACGCCCAACTCCTATTCTAATTATTAAGGGCCCTAAATTAGCACCCTGAACTCCCCACCTTGAGCCTCCTAAACCGCCCAACTGAAGGAACGGGCGGCCTCCTGCCATTTGCATGTCGTACCTCGGTAGGGACTGATGGCTCTGTCTGTTCAGAATTCCGATAGGATGTAGGGATCAACATGCGGCTCCGATATTGCTACGAATCATAGGGGCCAAGGCCTCAACAAGTAGACTAACGCTCTATTCTTCACCTTTACAATACGCAGAGCTTATGGCTTGCATCTGTAGGTAACATAGAAGCCTGACCAGATTTACAGTACTGTACCTCCTTCGGGCTCCGTATAAAATTTACACTATCATGTACCGTCAAGCCCTATTCGAATTATTAACCCAAAGGGTCCAAGTATCGTTATGGTATATAGCTATAGGGTATTTGGGGGTCTAAGTATATACCATAATGATACCTGGACCCAGGTACCCATATTGGGTGGCGTAACTTGCAAGTTCAGAGGGCTGCTAACCCAGAGGGGGCTGAGGCTCGGGTGAGCCAGAAAGTCAGTAAGACTTTGTGGTCTGGGTTCGGATTTTTGGGCGGTATTTGAATCGACACAACACTACGGTTGATGATATAAATCCTGCATTACCTTATAATTAATGACCCTGGACTACGAGAATTACGGTATATTCCTTATTATTGGGTAACGCAGGATTTATACCGTCAACCGTACCATGAATATCCGCGATTTATCACTCTGAGCCCCGTGCCGTACATTCGAACATGTGGAACTTCAGCCATTATAAACCCTAGTCCCCTAAACCCCAAACCCTAAACCCGGATACCCGAATCCCAAGGCCCGAATCCTACGAATCTCGAATCGAACATTTCAGGCCACGCCGCTGGCCGTAGGAGGCCGTTTGGGCCATCGGTGCTGAGTCGATCTGAACGGGTGAGTAGCAACATGGGTATTGACCCCACCCTCTGTAAGAGTTTGGGCGATGTATACAGATAATATATATATATATGTATGTTCATACTACGAACATTATCAACTGTTACAGAGTGGGGATTAGTACCCAAACAATATTACCCTGCAGCCTTGTAGTCCCTTTTACCCCAAAACCCTTTTTGAACTTTTGAGGGCCCTATGGCTTTTGGTCGGCCGTGAGATTTCGGTTTGGGGCTGTAGAGTCAGGTTTGTGGGGTCAAGGGTTGGTTGAGGACTTACTAACAGATTCAGAGCTTAAAACCCTAAACCCTAAGCCCTAAACCCTAAGCCCTAAACCCTGAGCCCTAAACCCTAAGCCCTAAACCCTAAACCCTAAAGTCTAAACCCTGAGCCCTAAACCCTAAGCCCTAAACCCTAAACCCTAAAGCCTAAACCCTAAAGCCTAAAGCTTTCGAGCTCTTCGTGTTCACAAACCGAGGGTGCTAGGATTTAGGGTTTGGGGATCTACGCTTTGAGGCCTTGGGGTTGGGGGTGGGGATCTCCGGGCGGATCACTGTAAGTATGCTTACATACATACACACATACATGCATAATACATACATACATACATACATACATACGTGCATGCATTCATACATAGAGATTCATACATAGAGACATACATATACATACATAAACACATGCACCTACACACAAACATGCACATACATGTCAACGTCCGTGTATACGTCTAAATGTACATGTACATGAGCACTCCACTCACACGTGTATCATCTATTGATCTATCTACCTGCCTACCTATCTACGTAAATGAACACATGTATGCATGCATGTATGTGCATGTATGTATATATATATATATGTGTATATATGCATATTGGTATATAAGCATATAAATAAATAAATAAACAATTGTATAAATACATACATATATATATATATGCGCACATTTTCGCCCAATACCTTTTGTGGATTATGAAAGGCCTCTATCCTGCGTGAATGTCAAGGCCATTCGTGCATCTTTTTTCTCGACTGGTGTGTCGGGTGGAGGGCTTATGGGCCGGTCAGATTTGACAAACACCAGTTCCAGGAAGGGAGGTCCTTCGGCGTTTTAGGAACGACGGCTCCGGGATTCGCGACATTCCGATGGTGAGTCCTTCTTGTCACGTGCCGGAGGCTTTACGTGTTATATAAGTTGGGATTCCAGGGTCGCGCGTGCTAGTCTGGCACTCTGCTGCGCATCTGCGCATCCCGAAGAACAGGAATTCTCCTGCCGAAACGATTCCTCTGCATCGTGCCAGTTCTGAACCCCATGCCCCTGGGCCCTGGAGCCGCCAAAGAAATTTTTAGTGATCCAAGCCACAGCCTGAAATCTCGATGACTCAATCCTCGCAATACTAACCATCCTGCTCATCCTGCCTGTTGATACTCGGCCGGGGGTATCCCGTAATGCTGGGTGCGAGTTCCTGCAGCTTGAGGTAGACTCTTCATCTGATGACCCGTTTATGAACTCGATTGACCTTGCACTGACGACGGAAATACCATAAGAACCAGCGGTGCAATCAGTGTCGCGTGGACTGTTATTTTAGTAGACGAACCTTCAAGGAACAGGACAGAAAATTAATAGAGAAGTTGCTGCAGACCCGGCTACAGTGGTGCACATCAGGGTCCAAAGTCTTGTTAATAGGTAGTAGGTACTTGGTCGTAGGAAGACAGTGGTGGAAAGTGGGTAGGATGTAGTGCTGCCGGAGTAGTAGTAATAGTAGTGATAGTAGTAGTAGTAGTAGTAGTAGTAGTAGTAGTAGCAGTAGCAGTAGCAGTAGCAGCAGTAGTAGTGGTAGTAGTAGCAAAAAGCAGCAGTTGCAGTCGTAGTCGTAGTCGTCGTCGTAGTAGTAGTGGTAGCAGTAGAAATCAGTAGTAGCAACGAGTAGTAGTAGTAGTAGTAGTAGTAGTAGTAGTAGTAGTAGTAGTAGTAGTAGTAGTAGTGGTAGTAGTAGTAGTAATAATAATAATAAGCAGCAGTAGTAGTAGTAGTAGTAGTAGCAGTAGTAGTCGTAGTAGTACTAGTAGTAGTAGCAGCAGTAGTAGCAATAGAAGTAGTAGCAGTAGCAGGAGTAGCATGAGTACCAGGAGTACCAGGAGGAGTAGGAGTAGGAGTAGTAGTACTAGTAGCAGTAGTAGTAGTAGTAGTAGTAGTAGTAGTAGTAGTAGTAGTAGTAGCAGTAGCAGCGGCAGTAGCAGTAGTAGTAATTGGTAGGTGGTAGTAGTAGGAGCAGCAGCAGCAGTAGGCGTGGTCGTTGAAGAAGTAGAAGAACAAGTGCTGGTGCCAGGACATGTACGTAGTGGTGGTGGTAGCAGCATCGGCAGCAGTAGCAGCTGTAGTAAGACCAGCATCGGATCCGAGCAACGAGTAACATGTTGAGCAACTGGCACCGACGTCCAATGATCAGTCAGCTGGCCATCCGGGTTCTGGATGAAGAAGTAGTGAGGCGTTTGCTGCGCCGGCATCGCCTGGGCTGCATCCAAGAACTAGCGGCGAAGTGCGGAGTCATTATCAGTGCTGATCGCATGGTTGTCGTTACATCTAGTTGGGCGAGTGTCTCACCCTGTGCATTCGACGCCAAATATTATATGATTGTGCCGATGGCAATGAACATGATGATGGCCATGATGGTGATAATGAATGTGTACCGACGATTGCGATGAGATTTTCATAAGAATGAGGAGTAGCTAGCGCGCAGGAGACAGCATGCTATCAGAAACACCATCATCATCACCACCACCCCCATCATCGCGAAGAGACCCTTGATACCATCGTAATTGCAGGCAAAGTGCAGCCATTAAAAACACACCCACACACACACACACTTGGAGGATCATGCGACTTAGTAAGTATGGTTATAAGTACCTTGATTGGAGTGATAAGTAATTATTAGTTACCTTAGTAATAACCCTAGTTACTAAGTCCCATGATCCTTTAAGCACACCAACACCAGCCAAGGTTGACATGCAGCGATCAAGATCCAGGCAACCCCAGGGACAAATACCGAGGGTCTTTGGCTCAAGCCTGAGTGTGGCATGGCATCTGTCATTGGCCGTATACCTGCTATTCTAGGGTCATCTTCCCTAAATCGTAGACCCTAAGCGTTGGTTGCGCAATGCTATCTCTAGAGACTCTAGATAGATTGCCGCGGCTCAGGGACAGGGCTGGGAGCGCAGTCCAAATGTGCAAAACATTCAGACATGGGAGCCTTAATCATTAGACTAGGGTTTCAGGGTACATGGTACCAAAAAAAAATAAGGAGCCCTCAAACTAGTATTGGTAAAGATACTGGCCCCTATATTACCTGCATGTGATGATGGTGTTTGCTCGTGGACAAGATCTACGGCATGACGGGTCACCCAACCTCACATTTGGCAGTCGCAGCAGCAAGCAAAGACGACGGAGCAACCAAAAAGCAGCGACATGATTGCTAGTTGCGACGGTGGGGATAGCTACCGAGACCATCTTCACCGACAGCACAGCAGCAACAACAGCAAAACAGCAACAGCAACTACAAGTAGCATCAATGCACAAGCCAGGGGACTGACTGACCATAGCCGCCACGTCACTAGCTTCTCCAGCCACCAAAAACACCATTAGCTTTATCAGCATCAGGAGCAGAACAGCAGCAGTCCCTCCAAAATAACCAGCTGTAGTAGAGCTTATAGTTTCTTCGGAAGTCGTCCGAATGATGCATTTGATCTCCAGGCTACAACAGAAATTTACTATAGCAGCAACGATAAGGGCAGTTGCCATGATTCGAAGGATGTATAAACATCCAATAACCTATAGTGGACATCCTCAAGGACGAAATGACCCTTAAACGTAGGGGCCCTATTATACCCTCCTGTACGATGAGCCCCTGTATGTTATATGAACCTTGAACCGGGCTCATTACGTCTTTGAGGATGACGATGACTACAGACGCTGTCTATACAGTTCGGCCAGGGGAGAGGTGACAGCCAGCGATTGCTTCACATAGCACCCTTGCTAATAGGCTCCCGTAATTCCTGCAGTTGACATTAAGCCTCATAGTAAAGAACCGTCGTAGTACACCCTAAACCACTAAACTGCCAATCCTAAACCCCAAAACTCTTTGCGAAACTGATCTGCCGGGCTGCCATGGTGCAACAGGCTCTTGCCAGGCTTGGGCACGCGTCTTAGATCTGAAAGCGCTGCGGGCATGAGAAATCCTTGCTGTTCTCTAAGACCAAACG